TTCCTTTTTCATCCCTCAAGGGTCCTACCCCATCCTAACATTTTGTTTACCCTTAATGTATTTAAAGAAATCCTTACTCTTAATTTTTACATATTCAGCCAACCTTTTCTCATACATCCTTTTTGATGTCCTAATTTCCTGTTTCACCAAATGTCTTGATCTGCTCTCATACCAGGTTTCATATAGTATTTTGGGCATAGATTACTATAAGAATTTTTCAGTTCCATTTTGCAGCTGCCTTGCCTGTATATGTTAATAGCTATAATTATTTTATAAAAATGACAGTACTAAACAAACAAATTGAAATTGAGTTGCTTAATTAATTTATAAACGAAGTATTTCCATATGCAAGTTTCTACTAAGTTTCTTTAATATGTTTTTTCAGACTTCCTCAATAGAAATTTTTCTGTGGATATTATGTCTGGAACAAAAAAAGGACTAAAAAACCCTTACTAATGCTTGTCTTTTTTGCAATAGCGTACACTAGTAAAATTCTCTCAAAATCTATTTATTTCAGTGTATAGCTATAATTTTAAGTAATTTTCTCCCATCAAGAAAACATTCACATGGCAAAATTTTTAAAACATGATTTGACAGGTTTTTACCAAATAAGCTGTGAAGTTTATAATATTGTAAGCATCAGTATTGACTTACTGAAAGTAGACAGGGTATTGATTGCTGTGCTGATTAAAATCCATCATTTGACTATTGGTGAAACGTACCAATTTTTTGTAACATATAAGAAATGTTGAGAGCGTTTATTGCAATATTTTACATTATTTCTGAGAAAGTGACTTCAAACAAGTTAAACCTTTATTTTTACTTCTTCATAAAACATCATACATACAACATTCAGAATGTGGATCAGAAATAAATGGTTAATGGTGTGTCGCTCTTCTTTGCAGTTGGTGGAGAGATAAGCCAAGTGTTTTCCATATTAAAGACAATTTCAAGGAAACTTGATTATTTGTTATAGTTTTTATGTCTATTATATTAGCTTAGTTTCAAAAAGCTCACTTTCTCCATGAATTATGAACAAATTGCTGATTAACAGTAATGACCATCTTTTTTTTTATATTAGAATTTTCAATAGAAATAAATTATACTCTCGTGCCAACTACGATACAATATAAAATTATATGTATTCATATGTAACACTCCTCCCTTCCGGGAGCACCTTAAATTTTGCAACAGCTTAAAGGGAAAAGTTCAGAGTATTCCACTTTATATATGATTTTGCTTAGAATATTTCCATGATTATTTTTTTTTGCTATACTGTCCCTTGATTATTCTTTTCCTTTAACTACCTAATGAAATCTTTTGAAGAATAATAATTATAACAAATATGTTTTTCACACTTGTTTACGGTTATTTCAAAATGAATTGACTACAACTGTTGCTCATACTGGCATTTACAAATATAGAAGAATATTGTATTTACGAATTGTGATGTTAACCATTAAAGTTTCCATGGTGTGCGCTTTCAAACATTGAAAAAAAAAAGCTTGTAGACATTTAAAATATTACACTTATTATATAAATATAGCTCTTTTTCCTCTACATATTAAAAATGTATGTACTGTATTTGTCACAGTTATCAAGAACATAAATAAAATATCATCGTGCTTTTAAATTATTTTGCATAAACCCCTTCTAAAGTTGTTTTATAACAAAGTGTTCAGAGAATACAATTAGTTGTAAAAAATGTCTGGGGTTTGATACCTTAAGGTAAGATACTGCAGATCTAAGGAAAATATAATATGGAAACAAGTTTATCATCTGTTCTAATAAAATAAGCTGCAAAATTAATTTAATCCTTGAATTTTTTGAATTTTGTACATGCAAACATTTGAAAGTATTTCTTATTAGTAGTACAATAGATTACTTAATATGAATTGTATGTTAATTTAAATCTTACGTATTTTATAAGATAATTTCATTTGCAAAGTGTAGTTTTGCATAACAAAAAAGGGGGTAAAAGTAGTATTGTAATTTTTGTATGAAATTATCTGTTTCAGGACCAGAAAAGTTGGAATGGGATAAAATGATGGTCAAGACTCCACAGGGTTATAGGTACCTCTGTCCATCATGTTTGAACAGTTATTCATCTTCTGATAGTTTGAGGATGCATCATTACTACAAACATAGGAAACAAGACCGTCACTATTGTAACTACTGTGGTAGAGGTTTTGTTAGAAGTGGTGACATGAAGCGCCACTCTTTAGGCTGTAAGATTCGGAGAGTTTATTGAATAAGGGTAAAATTTGTCAGGATTTTTAATAAATAGTTTTGTTTGAAAATGTACATATTGAATAGTTTGGTGTTCTGTTTGAAATTTTAAAAGCAAGGTTTTAATAAAGTTTTGGTGATTACTCCTTTCATTTTAAGGTTCCTTGATGGTCCTTACTGGCTGTAACTGTCAACACAAAAACACTTATTTGGAAGACATGCATACAACAAAAATATTCAAATCAGTCATTTAAAGTTGTCGTTAAATTAAATGAATGAGATATAATTTTATTTGGAACTAAACTGTATAACTTACACATGGCGTATCATACTTTATAGAAGGTTCACCCAGTATAAAAAATTTTTTATTTAATTTCACAACAGAAAATATTGAAAGTTCGACCTTCATTTGAGGACATTTCATATGAAGTGTTAAGTTGTGTGTCTTCCATCCCATAAACGTAAAGATGTAACAAAATATACAGTCTATAATCACTTCCTTCCAGGGTCATACCGTTACCAGTGGAAAGCCATGGCTATAACCACAGGGGCTGGACGAGAGTACATGTGCCCATCGTGCCGAAAAACATTCCACAATACTAATTCTTTGAGATGTCATCACCTAAAAGAGCATCGAACACCAACAAGATTTAGATGTCACTTATGTGGGAAAGGCTTCAAATGGAACTGTTACCTAAGGAATCATATGATTCATTGTAAAGGGCAAATGTGATGTTTTTTTTTGTTGTTGTTGTTTAATTTGTAAATATCTTAGCTGGTAAGAGATTAATAAAATAAAAAACAAGCATTACCAAAAAAGTGATCTGTAAACATGACAGAATTTAATCATTGTAAACTGGAAGATAACTTATGGTCGTTTTAAGGTTAAATGGTAACATTAAGAAGAACAAGTTAGATATAAAATCAGATTTATTTTTTAAGAAAACATTTTTTATTTGCAGAACTATAGTAATATTAAAGTATTATTTTATACTTCAAATCAATCTAAAATGGCTAAATTATAGAAATGAGAGGTAATACTCGTACATGCTATATTTTCAAATGTATTTTCCTTCCTGTGACCACTTTTGGAGCATTTTTCTGTATATATATGTTTATACATGTACGTACAAACAGAAGAAAATGTATCTTGAGCAAAGAGAAAGGAGAAAAGAAGTTATATGGTGTCATATTAAAACTTTTTTTTCACTTATTTGAAACACCTGCAACAAAATAAAATCTACTTTTTATAGATCGGTTAAAGTTTCTGGATAATACACATCTATGGTGCACTATAAGAAGTGTCCAGTGTTTGTTTTTATTTTAAGATATATTTGTGTATGTTTACGGTGTATCCACCCAACCAGATTATTATGACTCTTCATTACAGTGTCAGTAATGACTGATACTCAAAACAGGTGTTACGCTGTATAATATAATGCATGTAGCTAGGGTAGCTGTAACTAATGAGGTACAGTAATATTATATTAATGTTACCAAATAAGAGACCTATCACATTTAAGAGACGTTTTTGTACCCAGTATTATTTCCCTGATTAAAGAAGCTTTTGATGGTTAGATTTAGGGTTAACATACTTCTAGATACCGCACATCCTTTTGAGATGAGGCTATGTGTGTTTTCATTAACTTAGAGTTTAAATCAGTAAGGTATTAAGTGGCAGATTCCAATAAATACCATGTGTGTGTGTGTGCGTATATAATGACTACAGTTGAAATTCTGTAATAGATGGTTTTAAATTGTATTGTAGTGTGAAAGGATACATATGTAGATATATTTTATCAATTTGTGTTAGTATTAGTGATGGTCATACACATTAAACGGTTTGAAGTTTGTTTACAAACACTGACTGAAATAAGCCACTTCTTTTATTATGCATGTATACAAATGTTATGTGTCAAAGATGTATATAAGATGTACACTTTTATATACATTTTTATATTATTTTTATGTTTGAAACTAAGATTTCTCATTTTTTACCTTTAAAACGTATTCAATATATACATATTTTTAAATGCAAGGAGATAAGAAATATGTGCACAAAAATGATATTAACTGTACAAGCTTGAATTTTTTTTTACTGATTTGTGTATGATAGAATGTTACATAAAGTTTTTTTGTTTTTTTCCCCCTTTTAATTTTATGAAAAATTTGCATTTTTGTTGACATGTGTTTTTTATTTTAATCAGTTAATTAATATATGTACTTAATGTTGAAGTGGTATAATTGTTAGCTAAATGAGAATTTTCAGAAATTATGAATATTTTGTTTGTTTTATTAAACTAAGTGATGTTTGAATCTGATGTAAAGCACTTTATTTTGTTTTATTGAACCCAGAATTAATGATCTGTATAGTTAAAAGTTTTTTTTTAATAACAATGGGTGTTTTTGGCAAAACTAAAAAAATGTTTCAGTTTGTATAATAGTTTTAATATTTTGTGAAAAAAAAACGTTCAGATTTAAAGAAACATTCTGCTAATTTTTTAATTATGGTTTTTCTTTGCTGGACATTGCATTTCATACTGTCAGCCATAGCACTGTAAATTGAAGTAGAATTAGCAAAAACTTGAACATATTCTAGTTTTTTCCCAAGTTTTTACTTTTATTTTCATATATAAACAGATTACTTTGTGGAATACTTCTTTGTACACCCATGTTTATATCTTTTCACTGGAAAAAGTACTTTTGAATTTCCACAAATAATGGATCTTAAACACGTTTTCCATATCCTTCAGCACTATTAAATGGTTCTCTTATTTCCATGAATAATGGGTCTTAAACATGTTTTCCACATCCTTCAGCACTATTAAATGGTTCTCTTATTTCCATGAATAATGGATCTTAAACACGTTTTCCACATCCTTTAGCACTATTAAATAGTTCTCTTATTTCCATGAATAATGGGTCTTAAACACGTTTTCCACATCCTTCAACACTGTTAAATGGTTATCTTATTTCCGTGAATAATGGGTCTTAAACACGTTTTCCATATCCTTCAGCACTATTAAATGGTTATCTTATTTCCGTGAATAATGGATCTTAAACACGTTTTCCACATCCTTCAGCACTATTAAATGGTTCTCTTATTTCTATGAATAATGGGTCTTAAACACGTTTTCCACATCCTTCAACACTGTTAAATGGTTATTTTATTTCCGTGAATAATGGGTCTTAAACACGTTTTCCATATCCTTCAGCACTATTAAATGGTCCTCTAATACGAAGCATACTATTTCTCCTTTGCTAATAATATTAAAACTATGACCAGCAAGAGTAACAAAGTAACCTGTGAGAATTGAGGTGCCAAACATTATCAGACCAACCATCCTCATTCTTTCTTGTTAGCTACTATGTATAAAATAGTAGACTCATACATACACTGACTACAACACTAATAATTAAAGAAAACTAAAGTGTTAGGCATAGCTGGACACTAATACATTTTGTAATGAAGATACTGTTGAAATGGATATGCAAACATATTACCCTGGACAAGTTTTTATAGTAATAACATACATGGCAAAACTTTCATATGTGAGATATTTCTAAATATTAGCCCAACTAAACATACGAGAGATACCGTATTGCCCCTGATTAATGCACCTGTGGGCATTTCAAACCGCAAAGGTGTGCTAAGTATAATATTTGTATAGTTCCCAGATTCTATTTTTCACATGTGATTTGTTGATTTCAGTGTTAATAAGTGTATGCATTTTTTTCGTCTTTTTTTTTTTAAATTGGAATTTACGGTAATAAAAGTGGATTACTGTTGCTGTCAAAATTACAGTAATAAAGTAGATTACAGTAGAGGATTATATGTTGGATTACTGTTGCTCTCATACAAGGTAAGCTTTATAAAAGTACCAGAGGGGGTAGGTGATGATTAGAAAGGGGGCATTAATTAGGGTCAATATGGTAATTATTCTCAAAATTGCATTCTTTGCCTGATCATGCCGTTGTTTTTTTTATTTCGTTTTTCTCCGTTTTTTACTAAAGTTAAACTCGCGTTGTTTTTATGTTGAATTTTATTTCAAATATTTAATTAATTTATTAATAAAAATATGCTTAATTTTGCATTATTGACTCTACCCTAATTGCTCAAGCCCCACCCCCAAAAAAATTATGTTTATGTTTGAAATAGTGAAAATAATTTTAAATTTCATGGGGTTTAATTTTTTGAAAATATAGCTGTAAAAAATCGTTTATTTGATTGATAGTTTGGAAAATTTAAAACTTTTATTGAACAGGGTGTTTCAAAGAAATTGCATCAAAGTTATAGGTTATCGACTTCCACTCTGCAGGTCTGTTCATGAACATGACATTATCTTGGAGGATGCATACATTAATATTTTACCACATCTGTACAACACGAGCTCCTGTTCAAGGATGTCTGCCCGATTAAAGCATATTTGCATCTTATGTTCCTCCAATATGATGTAGTCTTGAAAGATTCACTTGTAACACACAGTTGTGAGAAAATTCACAAACAAATCCATTAGACACTTCATCTTTCTCATCCTGTATATCTCATATGGCAGATATGGTAAAACTCATACACTGACTTTCCATTATAGTATAATTATTACACAGCTGCAGAAAAGCAAACAATTATTATCAAGCAAAAAACAAGAATATCAAAAGTAGTGCATTGTGATTGTGTATACCTAGTAAAACAAGAATAATTAGGTGATAATTTTGCCACCTAATAAATTTGTAATATAATTGCATCAGTTTTGTAAGTTATTATGTACAAATACAAGCTTATTTCAAAAAATAAAGATTGGATTTACAATTACAATAAGCAAATTCTTGAAAATATTTTTTGAATAGTCAAAATTAGTTTGTATGTGGTATTTTTTATATTTCTTCTAATTTTGAATGCAGTTTGGTTGAATACTAAAACTTGTATTTGGTGTTTGAATGTAGAAAACAAGGGATGAGTAGTGTTTGTATATGTCCTGAATACACATACATTTGACATTCAGAAGTGTTTTACCTATAAAGGCTATATTCCACTGTATCAGTTACGGAAACCTTCTCCATGGACCCCTTTTATTGCATACTATAATAATTTTATTCAATGTCAAATAGTTTGTTCTTTTGTTTTAATTGAAGTATACACCTGAAACCTTCAGTAGAGAGATAATGCATATGAAAAATTTTGTACAAAAATAGTTTTGTATTGATACGAGTATAAATCATAAACAATAATATTTTAATAAAGTATTGTTTTACCACTAGGTCTAACAAGGTTTCATTGGATTGGGGGTCCAAGGATGTCTTGGCAAAATGTAGCCGTCACCACAGAAAATGGAGTACAGTACAAGTGCCCAGAATGTAGAAAGTTGTTTCGTTCAACCAACACCGTTAGGAATCACTATTTCTTTCAGCATAAGAGTCCAGTGGTTCAAAAATGTTTTCATTGTGGGAAGGAATTCAAACGTCTTATTCATCTGAAACGACATGCACAAAATTGCTATCGTTTATAATTGGTGCTTATTTATTTTCTAATCTATATATATTATATCTTATTTTATTTCTACTCATTATTCAGTAACGTAAACATGAAAGTTGTATTTATCTTTTCTTTCTGTGCATTTTTGTGTTAAATATATTGAACAATGTATTCACACTTCCAGAAAAATAAGAGAAAAATCTATAAATACAGAAAGTAGTTAAACATTTCCTTCATTATACA